GGGATAAGGTCCCTAGAACCATGAAGCTATAGGAAACAAAGGTACAGGAAACTCACACTTTTTGCCCTTCTCTGCACATGCTCCAGCTGGTCAATATACTTCTTGAACTGGTCAGAATATGATGAGTATGGAATTCTCAAGAGAATAAAACGCAAGCAAAATCATGTTCAAAATTTTGCAACATAGATTCCAACCATACATGGAAAGAGAGATCCTAGAAGTCCAAGCAGGATTCAGGAAAGGAAGTGGCACTAGAAATAACATTGCAAACAGACAATGGCCAATTGAGAGCACCAGGGAATTCAAAAGACAGTCAGCATGTATTTTATAGACTATAACAAAACCTTTGATTGCATAAACCCTGAAAGGCTATGGGACACCTTAAGGAAATGGAAGTGCCAACACATCTGATAGTCCTGATGAGGAATCTGTACTCAGGACAAGAGGCTACTGTCAGAACAGAACACAGAGAAACAATGGTTCCCAATTGGCAAAGGGGTCAGATAAGGCTGCATCCTTTTACCCTTTCTGTTCAACTTGTATGTAGAACATATTATAAGAAAAGCAGACTTGGACACAGAAGAAGGAGGAGTGAAAATGGGAGGAAGGAATATCAACAATCTAAGATATGCAGATGGCACCATAGTACTAGCAGAAAACCTAAAAGACATAGAACACCTACCGTACTAAGGAATATCAAAGAAGAAAGTGTAAAGACAGGCTTAGGACCATATCACTCAGGTAAATAACCCAGCACCAGCCCAACAGGATGCAGCCAGGACACGTGATGCAGGAGGGAATTACCACACTGTAAGTTGCCACCAATTCCACCTGGCGACAGTATCATGGGTCCCAGCCATGCTCAGCTGGCCCATTTTTGAAACCAAAAGCTCCCGGAGTTTTCAAACTGGCCAGCTGAGCAAGGCTAGGATCTGGGATGCTATTGTCCAGCAGAATTGGTGGTGATTTACAGTTTATTAATGTTGAACATAAAGAAAACAAAAATAATGACCACTGAGGAC